GTACCCAGCTTCAATACTTAACATTATTTTTTTAAATTATATGTAATTCTCTATAAACTAATTGTAAAATTAGATTTATATGCTAGGGCAATTAATTTTGTTACATCTTAATTMTGTTTATCATAAGATTGTTAATTGTATTACTTTGTTTATATTATTCCAAAATCTGTTAAGCATTTATTCTTAAAAATGAATGAATAGTTTAATACCACATACAACAGTTAGTTGATAAGATTGATTTTAATAAATTAATTTTGAACTCAATGTCATATTACCATTGCCTGTCACAACTCACAAGTCCCATAAATTAAATAAGCATACCATTATTAAGTTAAGATTAAAAAGAAAAATATAATTAATTGGTTATACTCTTGTATTTTAGTCTTGGCTTTCTCAAATTTGTATTTGGAATGGAATATTTTTAAAAGAAGYATGACAGCTGTTGTCTCCAATAAAACAATTGTAACCGAGGATCCATTTACAAATGAAGCTAATGATTTAAAAAATTATGCAAATACATACTTGACTGGGCTGTCTACTAAACTAATCATTAACATTCCCAATCGTAATTTATATTTATTAACTGTTAAGAATTAGTTATTAACTATTAAGTGCTATAAGAGCTTTGAATGACAATATATTATGTGGCTTTACACAGTACATTGTAATTCTTATATATATACAAGGTGTCCCGTGAGAATTTACCCATTGCAATATCTCCYGAAATAATGGTGATATCGAAATTCTGGTTTTGTAATAAGACTCACAAGGATAAGAACTACAATTATTTCATATTTTAAATTATTTTAATGTTTTGGTAAAAAAGTTAAAAAATATATTTTTATATTTAATTATTTCCAAAAAAATTAAAGATAGCCATTTTGTAGAGTTTATTTTTCTGAAAATATTGACGTTTCAAAATTTTATTTTCATTTATTTTCTGATTTTTAATATTTTTTTTAGTTTCAAGAAAAATTGCGAATTATTTAATACCATAATGTTATCAAACATGTGACCCACAGCGCCGCGCGCATTACCATACGGCCGGCCGAATACTTTCCGTGTTCCTAATAGTTATAAATTTATAATCATATTTTATTTCTTCAAAACTAGAAAAAGTATTAAAAATCAGGAAATTAATGAAAATAAAATTTTGAAACATCAATACATATTTTCACAATAATAAACTCTATAAAATGGCTATCATTAATTTTTTTTGGAAATAATTAAATAAAAAAATTTATTTTTGAAWTTTTTTACAAAAACATTAAAATGAATTAATTGTAGTTCTTTTCTTATCCCTATGAATCTTATTATAAAACCAAAATTTTAATATCTCCATTATTTTGTGAGATATTGCAATGGGTAAATCCTCGCAGGACACTGTATATTATGTCCCTACATAAAATACAAGCATATATTTATTATTTTTTTTTTATTATTATACATATATAAATATATTGAAAATTATATAATTCTATAAAAGTTACCTCTACACTGTTTAGAAATTTTCATTTGTTTATATAACACAAAAAATATAAAATTTTCATATTTAGCTTAGAGTACTTGGTCTGCCCACCTAATATTTTAAATAATTGATATATTTTCAGTGTCAACTATAACAGACATTATGACTTGTAAACGAGTTTTAATCAAATCTAATGAAATTAATGGACAATTTACAGCTATCTTATATGCAATTGTGAGTAAATTTAATATTGATGGATTATCTCCGTTGGTTCTAAATAAGTGGCAAGTATTTAATTACTCTAAATTTAAATTGTTATAAACAAACTTTAAACATTTAAAACATTTTGTGCAGTAATCTATGTGGTATGAATGTGAACAGTACATACTTATTGTGTGTTAATCCAGAATGTAMTTCTAATTTTGAAAAGGAAATTGGATCATATGAATTAGAAACTATATTAAATATTCGATTATCAATAACAGATTCAACAGGCACTCTAGAAAACTGTATATTGCATCATGAAATTGCAACCAAAATGTTAAACGGGGTAAGTAATATTGGTAAGAAAAAATAAATTTGATATTGATGCTCATAAAATACAAAAGAATAATGAAATGCTGTATTCAGTAATACATCACTAACTTTAAACATGTCTTGATATCTCATAAGATATCAATCAAATAGTT